AATAAATATAAATATTAAATTTTATAGACTTGCAAACACAGAATTGATACATCATAAAAAATTCTCATCATTTGACATGAATCTCGAAGTGTACCACAAATTTCTAGGCATTTTCTGGGGAAAAATGTTCAAACTCAAATTTAAAATTATTCATGACTCCTTTTACAACAAACTTGTAGTCAAACTGACAGGTTCGACGAGAAAGACCCAATGACACCAAAATTGTTCTAATCCATGTTATATCAAGCCTGCAACAAGCCATTATACCACTCACGAAAGTTTTTGGCGGATAATTGAAAGGTCAAATGAATTTTAAATTTGATAAGCTTATAGTCGAATCGAGCATCTTGATAAGAAGAATCCAGTGAACTTAAATTACTCAATTCTAACATAATTAATGCCCTAAATTGTCCATAAAACTCTACTAAGGTTATTTGATGGTGCAGTTTGAATTCTTTCCTTATTTAGAAGTGAGGCCACTTTCAAACTTGATAAATAGAGCCCTAACCTTTTCATGAAAGGGGACTGAAAAACCAGGACCCAGACTGAGAGCCAGATCAATAAGAGGAAGAAATTTCGAGAGCCATTCTGAATTCAAAGACCCGACAATCACTTTCTACCTCGATTGATTTCAGCAACCATCGAACATCTCCGGTCGATCATTGTAGAGTATAGTCCAGTGACTACCATCGACCACAATTCACTGTCCCCTACTTGTCGTCAATGAAACACCTTTTGAAGTAACGACGTATGTTGTGTAATAATGAAGCATCCTACTGTGCATCGCAGTGTGTCAAATACGTTGTAACAACACACCACAAAGATGATGTAATTATGCATCCCTAATATGCTATAACAAAGCAACCTGAATCTAGTAAAACAACTTCTATCATTAGGGCCATCCGCTTTGGCCTTGATGGCCAATTGGTGCTTGCCCCTCACTACGACCTGTGAGGCCAACATATAAATATTGTAGCTCACCACTACATCCTATGCGGCTTACTACAGCCAATGCGGATCACAACTCGCACAACTCTCAACTTTGGCTTCTATGATCTATGAATTTTATCACAGCTTACCACTATGACTTATGACTTATGTGACTAACTATGTCCTATGTGGCTCACAGATCGTACAACTCCTAACTCCAACCTTTGTTACCTACAAATGTTAGTGCAACTCTCTTCTACGACCAGCATGGTCGACTGATGTGATTACAACTATTCACTACGACCCCTATGGCAAACTACATTATCACGACTCATCACTATGACCTATGTGACCAACTATAACCTATGTGACTCACAACTCATATAGCTCTCCTCTGGCTTATGTGGTTTACGAACATTATTGTAGCTCACTACTATGTTCTATATTACTAACTACCACTCACGCGGCTCATAGTTTATGTAGCTCTCAACTCCAGCCGTTGTATGAATGTTATTACAACTCACCACCACGACGTATATGACCAACTATGACCTATCTGTCTCTAAGCTCATACATCTTCTAACCCTGGTTTCTGTGGCCAATAGACGTTAGTGCAACTCTCCATTATAGCCTTTGTGGTTAACTGATATTTCTGAAGCTACCAACGATGACTTATATGGCCAACTATTGCTACAACTTCCAATTATAGTCTCTACTTCAAGTTGAGGCTATTACAACCATTAAGAACTACAACTATTGTAGCCCTATTGAGGTTGATAAAGCTGGATCACTATTATACCTGTGTAATTCCATCTTCTCTATTTTAGGAGAAGAGTGAACTCATTTACACAATTACATAAAGAATTACTTTGACAGAGCTAGACCCTATATAATTTAAAGTATGGCATCAGCTTAATTTCTCTAAAATTTGCACGCTCTTTTCATCCCTTTTATTCTTAAAATTGGGATCAAAATACTCTCCATTCACTTCTTAGGCATCTTTTTAGTTTTTAAAATAATATTAAAGAGTTTAGTAAGCCAAGAAATATCCAACTCTATTAAATATTTCCAAATTTCAGTTGAGATATCATCAAGTTTTTTTAAAATATCATCAACTTTTTTTTACTAATGTTAGGATAAAAATTTAATATTTTATTATTATTAACGATATTAAAATCACAAAAGTCAATTGCATTTTCAAAAAACTTTATTAAAAGTTTATCAAAACAGCTCACCCACTTATTTTAAATATTTTTCTATAAGAAAAACAATTTTTAATTTTCATCTTTAATACACCTTACTTAAATTAAAATTTTACTTTTCTTTTCTGTTTGTTTGGCTAGATTACACATTTATATTTTTTTATCTTTTTTAGCTTCTAATCTATTATAAAACTCATTTAAAACATAATTTTTAACGTTTCAAATTGATTTCTTAGACTTCCAACCTTGTAAATCTTAAAAGACCAATATTTAAAGCATCCAACCTTAAAATCCCATATGATATAAGTCAATACTTTAATCGAGAATTTTTGTAGGGGTTTACAACTCCTGAATGTAATTGACTATAAGGGTTAACTCTTGTAGGGATACTAAGCCCTAAAATAAAATAAATCATATATTACACTTATAAGGTAGAGAAAAAAATCTTCGGTTAGCATATAACCCTACGTATCAAAGTTTTTCATCATCTGAATGATTAAATCCAATTCAAGCTAATATTTTGTCACTTTATGTGGTGCATTTTTCTTCAAACGACGTATTTGATTATTTATACAGAAAATTTTCAAGATCTGTGGTGGACAGAAAAAAAAACAACAATAATACATCCTCCATGGCTGGAAAGTTTCACGTGTTTCACGTTAAACTCTACCATTTATTAGGAGTGCATATCTCCTGATGGTTGAATTATGTCTCGCTAACAACTCTTAGGGCTGTCAAAACGGCTCGTTGTTCGTGAACAACTCGTATTAGGCTTGTTAAGAAGCTCGTGTTTGGCTCGTTCGTTAAGTTAACGAACCAAACACGAAATAAATTTTGTTTGTTTGTGTTTGACACGTTTTGGCTTGAAATACTACTCGTGTGGGGATTCACTGAGGTCACGAGTTTGATTCCCAGTGGTGTTGGGTTCTCAAATATTTATGCACATAAAACGGGCTCTCATCATGAGGCTTAGTGCATGGGAAATCGGCATTTGAACCTCTACCAAATACCGATTTCCTTTAATATATATATATATATATATATATATTGTTGAGTAATATATTAAAAAATTTAATTGACTACAAGGCTACAAAGATTTATAATCAATTAAAAGTATTAATTAAGAAAATATAATAACAATTATGAAATTAATTCAAATGATGTTTTAATATAAACAATAATTTTTAAATCTTGTCACAACCATTAACATCTTATGAGTACGTGATTAGGGTTGTCAAAACGACTATTTGGTCATGAACAACTCGTGTTCGACTCTCTAAGCAAACGAGCCGAACACGAGCTGAGCCTAGGCTCACTCGTGTTTATGGTCGTTTACACTCCTAACAACTCGTGACTATTTCATGCAGGCGTAGCTTCTGAGCCCCTAGAGGAAGGAAGTCAGAGCTCAATGGTAAACTCTCACAACTCCTCAAGGTATTGCTTGCAAAAGCTTATTGATGGTGGAAAAAGCTATTTTGATTGAATATGAATTTATGTCTCAAGACAAACCCTATAGAGCAGAATGTCTGCTTCGTTCATTTCGTCCCTCTAGTAATGAAGAGGGATTAATGATTCTCTTATTCTCTCATTCTTCTTGCAGTATCTTGTTGGAGAGCCAAGTGAATCGAGAAATTAAATATTTATGCAAAAAAGAGTTTTTTTATGCAAGAAGAAAACCTAAATACTAAATGGGTCAATTTTACTGATTAGCCATATATTTAAAAGTGAAAAGTTATAAAACTCCTTGCCACCCATAAGGAACCCACGAGTACCTCCAAAGTACGTTAGCATTCCTACGAGTTTCTTCGAACTAGTTTATCCAACCTAAATCTTCAAGCAAGTTCTTTAAGTTAAGCTCGCTCTCACTGCCCAAGTTTTCATTCCAAACTCACACGAGTTGGATAGACCTTCCCACCAAACTCGTCGACTATTATCTGGTCACACCTCGAACTCAACTTGCAGTTCTTAAAGGTAGAAGAAAGAGAAATCTAATCTACCAATATACATATTATCATTTATTGACAATATGACAATCATCACCAGCAGTTTTGTCGACAATTAGTTTGCTCAGGCTTCATAGAATACATTATGTAACCTAGTTTTATGATTTATTCTTTGAACCTCTAAGTGTGTACATACTCCACAATCTATATATATATATATATATATATATATATATATA